GATGATGACCATTTTGTCTAATTTTTTTGATGGTATCTTAAAGAAAGTAGGATCAGATCTCTTGACATATTTTTGAGAAAATTCTTGTGTAGGATCTAGTTCTCTTAAAAATAAGCTCTCAAGGTTGTTCAGAATCTCTAAATAAACTGATGGATAGGTGGGAGAGATTGGTCAGTGGAAAAATAATAACCTTGTTTGAGACATAAGTGTAAGAGACTCTTCTTTATTTGTAAGTTATCTGTATATGACAACTCATTCTCTATTCTTCAAGGAACTACTTTTTTTTAGTGTAGAGATAAGTGGAGTTGGAACCATTCAAGAGAAGGTATATTTTCTATGCCTCTACTTACCATGTTTCATCTTTCTAACTCTTCTTATCATGTAGTGAGTATGATCATTCCCTTCATTTAGGTTAGATTGACTCTATCTAAGGTGGTGGTTTTTTTTGCAACATTTGGCAAGATAAACTTCCCTCTAGAGAGAACATGTTTAAATGGTTGGTGATTCTTGATTTTGGTGATATCTCTTGTCTCGTGTTTGGTTGAGTTGTTTTATCATCTACTTGTCACATGTGAGATTGCTTTGGCAATGTGATATATAATCTTTCCGTGATTGGGTGGCAGGTGGTTCTTCCTAGTGATCGTAACTTTATTTTTTAAGTGTTTCCTCTCTTTAGGTGGTAGAGTTAAGTATTGAGATGGTTTGTTATGATAAGTCATGCACTAGTCCGGTCTATTTGGATTGCCTATAATAATGGTATTTTTCTAGTGATGCAACATTTGTGAAAGAAGTGGAAGAGAAGAGTATTTTTGACTTTGAAATGGTTTCTAGGTTAATCACAAGTGAACTCGTGTATTTTTTTTTATTGGCTTCAAAACTCTTTTTGTTGCATTAACCAATAGCGGAACGAGTGTTGTTTTAATTCTATTACTGATTTTGAAATTTTTTTTTTCTTCTCTTGAAGACTTTAGATTTGTTGATGGCGGTATTAGAGGTTTGAGTTGTAGCCTAAACTTTATGATGTGAGCTTGTTGTTGTTTTTTTGCTGTGCTCTTTACTTTTTGTCGTTGTTTCGTTTTCTCCATTTTTGGTGGTTAGTGCAACACATTTTGTACTGAGCTGATAACCTTTCCTGAGTACTTTGGTAGATTTTTCATCCCCTTATATTATTTTTCCATTTAAAATATTATTCTAAAGTACAAAATTGAGGTATTCTTACGTACAAATTTAAGAGCCATCTAAAAATCATCAAACATTTTGTGACTTATTCAAGAAGTTATATGTACTAAGGACACGTTTTTTCCAACACTACACTTATTTTCATATCGAGGGAAACTCGTCTGGATCTTGTCATTTTATATAGAATTAATTTTTAAAATATGAGAACAATGTGAATTTCACATAATTAAAAAGTGAGTGTAACACACTTCTATAAAACTTTTGCCTAGAAAAAGTGACAGTCACATAGAATGTTCAAAAGAAAGTAATTTTAAAGACTCCTCTATAAGACAATCTGAGACCGTGAGTATGTACAATATAACATAAAACAATGTTCTCTATAAGTGTGACTAACTTGTGTACAATGTTGTTACAAAAACATGAAACCAAGCAAAACAATGTGCTCTATAACATGAAACCAAGCAAAACAATGCGCTCTACTAGTGAAATATTTTTTTGTAATCGTTTGTATGGCCATTTTCAAGCCGGAAAAGTAAGGTGCCCAAAATGTCACCATTATCATGCAATGACAAATATCTATCACATGCAATATATGTCATTTATATGCATGCTTACATATGAATGACACTGAGACAACAGAATATCTGAAGCTATTTTGTAGTCATTCTTACAGCAACAAAATCATAAAACTTGGCTGTTATGTTCTGTCTAAATTGATTTGGAGCTCTCTGCTGCCCCCAATCTTTATCATCTATAAATTTTATTTCATTAATTTTAAGAATGATTTCCGTTTAGTTAAAAATATTCTTTTTGTCAAATGCATATTAGTAGTTGCATGTGGTATTATATACTCTTTTGGTCTCACATTGACGTCATCATTTGATTATTTCACATAAAATTTAAAATCATTTAAAAGAGAATGATATTTTTATTAAATTAAGTATCGATGTATTTATTATTACCACAAATGAAAAATAAAAAATATATATTGATTTATAAGTAAAAGTGTATATGGGTCGGTTTGAGTTGTGTTTGATCAAATACAATGCTTGATCATACCCCTACATTTTGTTAAATATGTCAATTTTATCCTGTTTATTTTTAATCATTTTATTTTTTACTTTGTACTATTCATGTCAGACTTTCGAAAATTGTACCCAATCAAAATCGCATCGGAAGACTTTCATCATGACATCCGGTACGTTACTTTTCTTTTCCAGAAGACCTGGCCAGAGAGTTTCGATTTATCACAAAACCTGTACTGGAAGTCTAACCAAAAGAGTTACAGTTTTGGGACGAAAGCATGAACTGTACCGAAGCACTTTTTGCAAGTTGTCTGGTTTGTTGATTTTGCATACCGAAACACATTTAGCAAGTTGACCGGTTTGTAAATTTTGTTTATCGGAACACTTTTAGTAAGACTTTCGATTTGCTTTCTTTAAATGTATTTTTTTTATACTGCAGGTATGGAAATTCCTCCAAAATATACGATAAAAATCAAATATGTGTAGATACTTCTGATATTTTTTCTACTACTCAAAGATTTGGTACACAAGAAGAGGTGATAAGGTGGATCAAAAAGGTTGGAAATTGAAATAAAGTAAATGTTATTATCACTCGTTCAGATATTGAAACAGACAAGAGAGGAGGAAGTAACAAATTAAGATTTGGTTGTGATAAAGGTGAGAAATACAAGAATACTGATAGTGAAACCCAAAGTGCGGCGAAAAAATGTGGATGTCCATTTAAAAATCAGGTCGACTCTGGTGAAAGATGGGCATGGATGGAAGGTTGATGTAAAATGTGGAGTTCATAACCATGGTTTACCTGATAGATTAGAAGGTCACTTCTTTGTTGGTATGTTGACCATAGATCAGAAGCAGTATGTTGTTGATTTGACAAAGAGACATGTTCCACTTAGACACATTGTTTTCCTTTAAAGAGCGAGATTCATAGAATGTCAGTCGGATCACGCAAACATATAAGCATAAGAGTATGATAGAAAAAGATATAATAGGTCTTAGAAGTGAGATACAACGTTTGTTTAAGCTTATTGAGGACACATGTTATGTTTATTGGAGTAGAAAAAGAGATGACTCGGAAGTTATTAGAGATATATTTTGGGTCCATCCAGATTCAGTTAAGTTGTTGAATATTTTTCCTATTGTGTTAGTTATGGACAACACCTACAAGACAAACAAATATAGTCAACCTCTGTTTGAAATTGTTGGCATGACATCAACCGAGTTGACTTTTGTTGTCGCATTTGCGTATATGGAGTATGAGCAGACTGAGACTTTTTGTTGGGTGTTAGATAAGCTAAAACAATTGTTTGTGAAGAAAGATTTATGTCCATAAGTTATTTTGATAGATAAAGATCATGTTTTGATAAAACCAATTGAAACTGTGTTTCAAAGGTTGATCAATTTGCTATGTCGATTTCATGTTAACAAAAATGTTGGTACAAAATGCAAGAAATATGTGATAGTGACATGCAAAAGACAATCGACACATTATGGATTGATGTTGTATGGGCTAGTGATGAGGTTGAGTATGATCAACGGTTGCAACAACTTGAGCAGGCGTGTGTTGATTGTAATGAATTTATTGATTATGTGAAAGACACATGGTTGACACCACATAGATAGAGATTTGTTAGAGCATGGATTAATCGAGTGCTATATTTGGGTAACACCACGATTAATCAGTATGTATCTTTTTATTAATATTTTTACTATGTATTTATTTTTAGTATTTTTAAATTGTACATTTTTTATTTGTATTTTTTAAGTATTTTTAATATGTATTATTTTTAGGGTTGAGTCTGCTCATTGGAAGTTAAAGCAGATGTTAGGGAACAATATAGGTGACATGGTTAAGTGTTGGGAGGCTATGAATAACAACTTAAAGTTACAACTGGGCAACATTAGAGCTTCTTTTTAAAAAAGCTTTTATGAAATTAAGTAGGCACATGTAAGTCCATTTTACAGTAATTTGCGTGGTTCGGTGTCTCGAGTTACTTTGAGATGCATTGCTGAAGAGTTATTGAGAGTTGATTATGTTGGAACTAACAGGGAAATGTGTGGTTGTAATCTTAGAACATCCTATGGGTTACCTTATGCTTGTGAGCTAACAAGATACAAACGTGGTGGTATACCGATGCTAATAGATGTTGTGCATGGTCATTGGAGGAAACTAAGTATGAAAGTTGAGTTGAGGTAGATGTAGATGATGGATCAGAAGTGGATATGAGTAGTGCAATTGATGAATTATGGAAAAGGTTTAGATCACTAGGTGTTGTTGGGAAAAGGGTATTAAGAAGTAGGGTTCGGGAACTTGCCTACCCCATAATGACTTCTTTGTGTCCACCACCTGAGAAAATAAAACCAAAGGGGGAGTCAAGAAGAAAGGCAAAAAAACCAATAAGGTATGATGTTTATAGGGATCCTACGTATCATGAGTATATTGATCAAGCATCTCAATCTTCACAGAGGCAATCTCAACCATCACAGGCTTCAAAGAAGTTGAAATTATTACAATATTCACAGAGGCAATCTTAACCATCACAAAAGTAGTCATAGTTATCTAAGTTGTTCATCCTTCAATTCCCTAATCATATCAGGTCATATATTGAAGATGCAGTTAATGTTGTATCAGATGGTAATTATGGATTTAGAGTCATTGTTTCATTACATGGATATGGTGAAGATGGTTAACCAATGGTTCATCGATACTTGAGGTTAGAAATAATACAGAAGGAAATAGCAAGTTTATATGACATCTTATTTGGTGATCGGTTAGCAGAAGTGAGAGAATCTTTGATGATAGAGGCATTTGGTCCTCAACCACCACAGAAATGGTTGACTCTATCAGATATGGGTTACTTTATATCGAATCTCTATAATGTTTTACTTGTCTGTTTAGGCAATATGTGCATGAATTTCTTCCCTATGACAAGTTCATATTCACCGAATGTCTCCATTTATTGCATTGGTTTTGTTAACCAAAATCATTGGGTTCGGGTACTTAGTTATTTGTAGTTAATATGTGACTAAATTCATTTAGTTTATTTTGTTAAATATATGACTTAATATTTTGATTTTTTTTATTCAGGTAAACATGAAAGAATGGTTTCCATTGCCACCAGTCACATTAGATTGGAATAAGTTTTGTTCTTCAACAACATCTTGGATGCTAGGATTTGTAGGAGGTCTACAACATTGGCAACAACTTGTGTCTGTATTACCATAAATATGTAATCAAAACATGAATAATGAATTATGTCATTCATTTTTAATTTTAAATATCTCAATAACACATAACTAGATTCAAAATTAAACATAAGTCTAATAGTTAATACAAATGAAAAAAAAAACATAAACATATCCCAACTAGATCAATAGGTCTAAATGTTAACACATAAACATAAACATAAGTCTATAAGTCTAATAGTTAACACATAAACATAAGTTAATGTGAATGAGAAATACGTAAAGCTTCAAATAACTCACCAAACTGTGGATCATCCTCTTCAGATCAACCTATCAGAGATAACGATGAATTAATGTAGAAACACGAGCCCAGCTAGGATCAGATGGTCCTTCATCGTAAACAGGAATTGACACCTCTCTTGGGGCATCACGAAGAGGGCGATACCAAAGAAGGATGCGAAACACGATAATACTGCTCAAGATATCCATCATCTGTCTCAGATGGGGTGGTGGCCAGTGTTGTCGGACAAATTACAGCAAGGACGCTCTGATGGTAACCAATCCAATCAACATCAATATCATCAACCATCATATAATCAGGAGGTGAGGGTGGAATATACTGCCTGTATCTAAACTAATGTATACATTTTTCAGGCAAGTATGGAACAACTGTATCACCCCATTTCAAACACCCCTTGTATAAACATAACTCATCAAACTGACGCCATGCTCTATGATCCTGGAATGGGTGCCATATGACGTCATCAGGTGCCAACTCGTCCAAAATAGGTCGCAAGTCATCCACCTTCAGGACTTCTTGCTTATAGGATCATCTCATCGCTTGAAGAAGACCACAATTATCAGTTGGTATCCAATTCTCTCCTCTTTTTTCAAGTGTTGGAAAATACTCATGAATTTAGCACTGTTACAAAATTAATACTATTAATTAACTAAATAAAGATAATTATAACATAATTAAATTAATTAATTAAATTAATATAATAAATAAAATTATTTAAAACATAATAAACTAAATTAAAATAAAGACTTGTATGAGAGTAGGATAACCACCGAGTTGTTTGCAACTAAACATAGAAGCATCTTCGAGATGTCTGTAAAGGGTAACCAATACAACTACTCCCCAACTGTATCCCAATAATCTATCCAAGTTCGTAAATAGTAAGAGGTATCATGCCTCGACAAGCATAAAGGTCTTGTCGGCAAAAACTATGGAACCCACCAACATCAGGAAATACGCTCTAGTCGCACATGCCCATCTAGAAGCAGCTCTATGCTTTTTGAATAAATCATATAACCATTCCAACTTATAGTAAGAATCCCTGCAGTGACGGACTTGTTCTTGTGCCCTATTATGTGACACTCCTAAGTAATCAACAACAAGTTCAATAGCAACCACTTTAGTGATGTCTTAAGGGGGACAAAACACTCTCTTGATAGGCAAGTGAAGCAGACAAGAGACGTTATCTAGAGTAATGCTCATCTCACCAAACAACATGTGAAATGAAGATGTCTCAAGATGTCATCTCTCTACAAATGCGGAAACTAGGTTTGTGTTTATCTTTGTCAAACTGGTTCTCGGAAGTGAAGATATACTAGACTTAGAAATCCAACCCTCCATATCTTTTGGAAGTTGTTGTGAAACCCTCAATGTCAGCTTCAGTCCATGTCCTGCAACCTTCAGCTCTTTCTTCAGACCTGTCTCCTGAAAACAATTAAAAGTACGTATATTATAAAACACAACATTAAAAATTCAAATACTATTCAAGATCAAATATATTTTTTTACTTACCTCACAAAACCATACATGTCTAGCAATATACTGCTCGTACTTAACCAAAAGTGACATATCGTACAACCCTCCTGGAAAGCCAGTCGGTTGTGTTGTGGATGCAGATGCACTAATATGCTCTTCCTCACTAGCCAACCTCGATGAAGGCCCCATTCTGAACCAAGATCTGGAATCTTACCACCTCGTGTTCGCGCCACTGTCAAAATAAAATTATAAAGAAAAGATTTAAAAAAATCAAAATGAAGAACCGTAACACATTAGAAAAATTTGCATATACATTGAGTTGATAATTGATGATCTTATTACTCCTTATTCTGGTTGATCCTTGTTAAAAATTAAGTCTGAACCTTCATCCATATTTATAGCCTTTTTAGAAACTAGTCGTTGAGGAGGTAACTTGATCAAGAGTCTTTGTTGTTACTCCATAGTATAAGAATCTTTGAAGATATATACACAAGAAGATCTTAATCCAATGTGTAACATGTTTAATTTTTTTTTCTTCAAGAGATTTTTTATTATTAGAGCCGTTGAGAGTAGATATCTATAAAGCATTTCAGCCTTTCTTGAGCCTTGCAATTTGTAGACTCTAGCTGATAAACTGATTTGACAATACAGCTTGCTTTCTGCAGTACAAACAACTTCAACTTTATCACCAACTTTGAATGGTACCTGAAGCCAATTTGCACTCACTAAGTATAGAGAAAATAGCGTTGCTTCTTATGATGCTAAGGCCTCATCTTCAGAGTCTTCGCCATACATCACTTAGCAAGTGTTCTTCAGATTCTGCCACCAGAAGCTAGCAATATAACAACTCTCAAAGTGTGCTTAATGTAGAACACATTCTGATAATAATATTTACAAGTATAAGAACCTGCACACATGTAACACACGTCAACTAAACCATTGTTATTTCAATACTTTGTTATAATCAAAACCCAAGGAAAGTATGTCACTGACAAATCTTGTTCTAACAAACTTGATGGCGAACAAGTGTATGACTATTTTCTTGTTTACCAATTCAAGTTGAAATGGCTCGGTAACCGCAATTACCGTCTCCTAGAACATTGGTGATCTGCTCGATATATTTGTGCATAAAAACCGACATCTCGTCGATGAATGGAATCTTTGGTGTAGGTGGCATAGGAGGTGGTTTGCTAATGCGAACTTCTTTGACAACACTTTTTTTTTAGATTTTGGAGCTGGTGAGTCAGGAAATATTTTGTCAACATGTTCAAAATATGAAGGAGACCGTGTAGTCGGATTGTCATTTGGTATAGGCTTCATTTTCTTTAGAGCACCTTTTGTTTTTACGATTTGAGATGGTGGTTTCATTTAAGTGGTTTTCTGATAGGAAATCTTCCTTGGTTGTTCTTTGATGTGGAGTTTCATGTTGTCATCGACCTTCAAAAATATCTCTTGTATCACTTCCCATTTGGTCAAAATAGAGATATTCGAGTTATCGTCATTCATGACACCATCATAATCAAACCTAAGTCTCTTCCAATGAGTTCAAACCTCATCGATTCTTATTGGGTCACCATGTTTCACCATTTTAGTAAAAACACAAGCACATAAAATACCATATGTTTTCACAATTGTGCATCCACACTTTGAGTTATCGGAGCCTACATTATCAGCTCATTTAGCCTCGTGAAAAATATAGTTCAAACCCGCCCAAGAAACGTTACCGACCAACTGTAAATATAGAGTGTTGTCTTTAAATTTTTGTTCTAAAATTGTGATGATCTGACCAAATTATGTTTGTATCTCATTATGCTAGTTTGAAATCATGTGGTTCAAAAAGTCCTAGTCTCTACACAAATCGCCCTTACTATTTCCCAACCAAATTTTCAAAGTAGCATGGGTCGACTCAACTTTGTTAGTTGTTATATTTCTAAGGTGTCTAACATTAATAGTCCATGCACAGACAATTTTCTCCTTCACCTGGTTAAAATTTGTGCTTTAATCTGCATACTTTTCACACACTTTCCACAAATGCATAACGAAATCGGCATATAGTTTTTTTGTGGAAGAATTTACTATAGGATTCCATGCATCCATTACTTTTTTCCATAACCACACTTGCCTTCACCATTTTTCCATCTTCAGACTCTATCTGTTTCATCCATACTGCTGGTTTAACCAGAATTCTCACATTCTTTGTTAAGTGATACCTACAAAGAAATGCATTAGAAGTAGGAAATACTTTTGCAACCAAATTCATCAATGCGGCTTCGCGCTCGGTAACAATCGTTTGAGGCATCTCCCTTTGGTCCTTCAGCAGTGTTCATCACACCTATAAGGCCCAAGGAAAATTGTCCTCTTTTTCACACTCAAGAAATGCAAAACTAATATAATATGTCTTCTCAGTTGAGGTAACACCAACCATCTCCAATAATAGAAGTTTATACTTGTTGTTCTTGTAGGTTGAATCAAGTATGAGAACTGTAGGAAACATGTTGAACAACTTTATGGAATTAGGATGAGTTTAAAATATGTCTCTAACAGTAACTCCATCTTCCCACGTTAGGTACCTAGACACGTAACTGTTATTATCCAACACTTTCAGGAGTTATTGCATCTCAGTTCTATCCCTCATAAGCACCTTGTTAGTGAGGTACCGAATATTATACATTTTCTTGATATTTGATATATTTTTGGGTCGTTTCTATTTCAAAGTTACAAGTATATTTTTTGGTTGAACTAGATTTAGGGTCATGTCAGCAACACCTTCCTTCTCTTCTGGCATGAGGCGAAACACACCTGGATGGCCAGCTAATTTTAAACACAAATCATGGTTATGTAAACCACATACCATATTAAATCTCCAGTTTTTGTTTTCCAACATGTAACCGTTCCTCTTAAACGAACACTCGCATTTTCTTGAACGGGTGTCGTCTCTTTTAAAATTTTGGAGATGAGTTCTATATTTCCCGCTTCTTTCATGTTTCATTGTAACAAAAGCGTATCATCTATCTAAACCATTATCAGACCTTCTAATAACCATATCAAACCAAGTTTAGAAGCCTCCATACGAATCCATTCAAGCATTTGATCACGAGATTCAAACTCTTGCTTATTTTAAAATTGGTTGCCAATATCTACCACCTTCACAACAACACCATGGACATTCGGAGAAACAACTTATTTTGAGAAAATATCGGAGTGCACCATATCTAATGAAAACAATTAAAACCATAAAAGTACATAAGCACTAATACTGAAGACAAACTTGGAAAATGAACACAGACAACATCCAGAAATGCATCTCTGAAAAAGTTCATACACGTTTCAGAGATACACTTCCGGACACAACAAATTTTTTCAGAAAAAAAAAAAAGAAAGAATGATTAATGTGACTAATGCAGAGGGGGATGAAGGATATTTACCTGAAATTTTATCTTCTTTGCTCCCTCTGATATGATGATCCAAAAGAATAGAGATTTGGAGTGAAAAAGTGGATTGAGAATGAAGGGTTTTTTGGTGAAGGATTTGGCTAAAAACCAACTATGGCAACAATGGTTGTGTGATCGTGCAACTGCTTTTTTTATCAGATATTATCGGAGATGCATCTCTGGAAATATCTAACATGCAAAGGTGACAGAAAATTCCAAAATCCCTCTCATGATTCCGAAGATATAACTCTGAAATTTCTACTGAACTAGTAAATAATTAAGGTATTTCTTAAAATATTTCAAAGATGCATCTCGATCCAGAATAAAAATAACCCAACTTATAGGACGCCTCTCAAAATGGTCTTTGTTAAGTGTGTAAGAGGTACGTCTAGAGATGCATCTCCGAAAACAGGGAGCATTTGTGGAAATTCACGTGGTGCAGTAGAAACATATAGGGATACGTTAAGAAATAGTCTTAAAAATTATCTATAGCTCCTTATAAAATAAGAAAGAGATGGTCTAACTGTATAGAAATAACAATAATAATGATGTTTATAGTTTCACTCATACATAGAGAACAAAATCAGTGTGTAGACAAATTGACTTCATTAGACATAGGCATTCAGTATGGATCTATGTGCTTGCAGGTACAATGTATGCAACTGTCAGATGATCTCAATGGTTTTGATGATGACAACACTGTGTTGTTAAGTCGTCATCAATTAAGACCAAGATGTTAAATCAAGATAATCAAGATGATCATGTTTGTGAGATCAAGATCTTAAATCAAATTTCTTAAGGACATCACCTAATGTCAAGTAGGATTTAATAGAATCCTGGATGATCTCTAGTCATGCAATCTCTAATGATGTTGTCTATTAGAAAGCTCTATCAAGCCTTATTGTTAAGAAAAATTAAAGTCCAAGATGATGTCTTGAATTAATGATGAATCTAGCAAGGGATCTTGAAGTTTCAAAGATTATGAAAGAGGTGATGTGTTTTCATTTCTTTGTATTTTCACTAATTTTTCTTAGTGTTTTCAGTGTGAAAAATATCAAACGAGGCTTTTCTTTGTTCTGGTGTTGGGGATAATGTTGTAATTTACCCAAGAGGAATTTATCTATTGTGTAATATCTCTTGAGAAATTGTTATTATATTTATGACATAAACCAGTAAAAGTTCTTATTGTGTTTGTGATATTGTACATGAAAGTCTTTGTTTGGTACGTGAGCTTAGCCTGGTGTAAAAGCTCTCTTTTAGTTTGCGAGGTTGTTCGTCAAAATCTCCGCTTGATTTCTGAGTTTTTCACGATGTAAAAGCTTTGTCTGGTTCTAAGATTGTCCGGGTGTAAAATCTTGTATTTAGTTAGAACGATAGATAGTGTAAAACTTCAGTTTGATAATAAGAAGAATAATGAGCATAACCTGTGCAAAGCTCTCATACAGTGGAAACTCTCAAGAAAAAATTCTTAGGGAGAAGAGTAAGCATAGTAGTTAGGTCGGACCTTTATAAAGTTTTGGTGCAATTCTCTCAATTTTTATCTCTTTAAGCAATCATATTTATTAAAGAATTTTTAATTGAACATCGTTTTTCAATTCACCCATTTTTCTCTTCTGCTTAGATTCATTTTTTGTACCTTAAAGATAATGTTTGCATATTCGTGATCAGCGTGAAAAACCAGTTCAAATGATATATGAGTTTGCAGTTTATTGTAACGAAGATTTTTAAAAAAAATCAACGACGCAAATATTACTTAAC